AGCATCCACGTTATGCCGTACCTGTTAGGGGGTTTGTGCATTCTCGACGTGCAACGGTGCTGTTGAGTGGCGGAGCCTTTACACCCCCAAAAGGAGAAACTGCGCTAAATTTTTCGCCAAGCAAACCATCCTTACCTGACCAGAGGGGCATAATTAACGCTGCAGCTCGCACTGGATGCACGGTCCAGCAGGCTCAGCGCGTCTGAGTGGGTGTCACCAGCCATGGGCTGCAGCGGCGGTGCAGGTGGTTGGTACGACGACGCAACGGTGGTGCCTGAGGCGTACGACGATGACGTCATGTCGTGAGGCTTCTGCGTCTCTTCGTCGCTCTCCTCGTCATCGCGCAGCAGCGCCTCCAGCCCACCACGCTGCGGCTCGCGCAGCTCCTGCCAGTGGTGGTCCTCCGCGTACCAAAAAACAACGCTGTACACAGTGACCGCAAGCAGCACGGTCGTCAGCAGCAGCACGATCGCCACGTACGCCCTCACACCGCCGTCGCTCGGCGCAAGGTGGTTGGCCGCGCTGACCACGCACAGCACCGCAAGGAGCACAAAGCTCGCCGTCTGCAACACCGTCAGGAAGGCCGAGCGCATCATGTTCGTGAAGGCAACCACGCCCGCACCCGCAAGCAGCACAGCCGCCATGCAGAAGTACTGGACGTGGCAGCCTCCCACGGGCGGTTGCACAGCCGCAATCAGGCACACCACACACAGCACCGACAGCTGGAACACGCACCAGTACACGTGGCTGCCCCTCATGTTCGTCAGCATGCCGCCGTACATCCGCTGCTGCGCCGCAGGGAACCAATACCCGACGGGGTACAGCAGGCGCTCGTGCAGCGGCTTCCTCGAAAACTGCCAGTACTTCGTGAAGCTCGCGCCCACGTGGCGGGCAATCAAGTAGCACACGCCAGCAGGGAACGCCACACCGTACAGCACGCCAACGACACCAACCACGCGGTGCTGCACGCGAGCGTCGGGCATCGCCAGTGCAAGCACGGAGCCAAAGAAGATACCGAGGTGCATCGCGTGCGCCACGACGCACGTCAGGCTCGGGAAGCGCATCGCCGCCCACGCACTCGCCGCGTCCACGCCGCGCCACCGCTGGAAGGCGGCCGTCACACCGCAGTGCACGCACCCGAACACAGCGGCGAGCAGCGCGTTGCCCACCACCATCCACAGCGGGTCAAGGACAGCGAACACCGACAGGAAGTACGGCAGCGCAACGGTGCTCGCACGCTCCTGCACCGAGGCGCATGACATCCTCGCAAACACGCCGAGTGCCTGCATCTCCAGGATGGAGCCCAGCCCGCCGGTCACCACCACGGCGACAGCCGCCGCACCCGCAACAACGCCGGTGATTGCCGAGAGGGCGCTGGCAGCAACGGGCAGCGTGTCGGACCTGATCGTGAAGGACCCAAGCAGCACACCCTTGCAGCCGCCGAACACCGCCACAGCGTCGCACTGAATGACTATCGTCTCGTCGGCAGCAATGAAGTAACCGCGGTGCACGGGCACAGCCAGCTCCAGGACGGTGGACGGATTCGTCGCGCTGCGCATCCACGTCGCGTTGCGCAGCATCGCTCCCCACGGGCCGCCGAACCCGCGCGGCTGCGCAGTCGACACCGGCACAAAGCTCAGGTGCGTGCCGAGCCGCGGGTCGCTTGCCCACCGAAACGGCGGCGGCAGCGCCACCATCAGCAGCGTCGGGACGGCGCTCCCACCGCCGCGGATGTCGTTCTGCGTCAGGCCTCCTCCAGCCGCCGTCGTCGTCACGGCGAGCGTCGGGCACGCCACGTCGCTCCACCACAGCGTGCCGCTCACCGACGCCGTCGGGGTCCGCGTGGGCGACAGCTCCACCGTCTCCGTCACCTGCAGGGTTTCCGTCGGCCCGTAATGCGTCGGACTGTAGTGCGTCGCGCTCAGGCTCGGCGTCCACGTCGGCGTCGGGCTGCGCGTCTCCGTCAGCGTCGCCGTGTGACTCAGCAGCGGCATGACGGGCGTGCGGTTGCACCCGTCCACGTGCGGCAGGTACACCGGCAGGCAGTCGCGCCCGTACCCGCCCTCAGCACAGCGGCAGCCGCACGACCCCGACATCGCCCTCGTCGCAGCAGCAAAGCAGTGCACGTCGGTGTCGCACACGCCACACGCCACGGGAAGGGATTCCCCGATGATGCCGGCGGAA